CTCTTCCTCCGCTGTTAGGAGTAGGATTACGGGAAAAGGTCAGACTCAGGACAGACTCTGGACCCCTTGAACCTGGGCAGGCAGCAAGGAACCCACTCTTCCCCCCTTGGCTTCTCACCGGGAACAGCTGTAAAATAGCAGCACCAGGATGTGGAATGGCAGGCACTGCTATCCATTCACCCAGTCTGGCTTCTTGGGGAGCATTCCTGGGGATAGCTCGCCACCGCTCAGCCTAGCTGCTTTCTGCCTACACTGCCTGCTCCCAGGAGGGGACTTTTGGGAAGCTGTCCATCCCTGGCATTGGCCTCTATGTGTGTGTGTGACTTATCACCCACCATCTTCAGTGTGGTGTGGGGCCTCGTCTCCAGCCAGGCTGTGGGGGATATGCATGCCCGTCTCAAAGTCAATGCCCATTTTTTCTGCCTGGCGCCGGGCCTGGCGGAGCACAGCACCACCCTGCTCACGAAGCCGCACTGCTGCCCTGTAGAAGATGGTGTCCTTGGCGTTATATTTGAGGCAGTTGCTGACGATGAGGTTGAAATCCTCCTCAAAATCATCAAAGTTCAGGTAGCGGTAAGCTTCCAAGTTCTGCTTCATGGTCAAAAAGTCCATGGGTTTTTTGATGTGGTCTAGGTAGTCAGGTACCTGTGAGAGCAGGGCAGGTGTGTCTACGTGGAGACATGCTCCTCATTTCCTGGAACCCTGTTCCTAACAACCCCCCTGAAATGCATCTAATAACGTCCTCCCACCACAGTTAAGAGGCAGGTATATAGCACAGGGGAAAGGAAAAGCCGGATGCTAGTCCTGACTTTACCAGTCACAAGCTGTGTGACCTTGGCAAGTCTCTCGACCTCTCTGGGCCTTCTTTCCCTTTCCTGGAAAATGGTGATGAAAACATGGCCATCTCTACCTTCTCAAGCCAGCGAAGCACCAGTAAGAAAATGGCTGGGGGGACCAGCAGTGGACATAATGGCATGTCGCTGGACTCCCATGTAGCCGACTGCGGTTCGAGTCCCGGACCTGATGGCTTAAACTCACGCTGGGCGTGTGTGTGTGCATGCCCAAGATCCCAAGAGGAGAATGGAGAAGGGATTGTGGTGTGGCCATCCCCCCTGGGGGGTGATTTCTCGCTTTCTGTCTCTGTCTTTCTGGTGAGTGCACACGCCCTATAGCAAAAACCTCTCCAAAAAAAAAGAAAAGGAAATGGCTGGGAAACCTCTGCCAATCACACCAACTTGCATCCCTATAGCTCTTTTTACCTATCTTTAAGCCTTACAAGGACACTGCCTCTCATTTTATACCTTTTAGAGAGAAGTCTGCCAGTCAGGTCCTAGGGCTTCAGAGCTGGTGCTTTAGGTGCTGAGCCTTCTAAAGGCTCCATTCTAGGGTTCAGCACCCCAAAAGTATCTCCCTGCCCTGGGGTTCATTTGGTAGACTCAGTCCCTGCCTCTCAGGAAGGAGACTGCTCCCCATTCTGGGCCCTTGGGGTGTGGCAGGGGCAAGACAGAGTCCAGTGATACACGTAGCTCCGGTTTATCGAGCCCCGGAGCCACTGGCCCCTCTCTTCAAGGTCCCCACCTAGTCCCTGGCCCAGACCTGCAGCAGGGGTCCAACTGGGAGAGAACAGACAGAAGGTGGAGTGAGGGGAAAGGATTCTTACTTCGTCCAATTCGGTTACCTCAGACAGAGGGACCGGCTCGCTGAAGATGTTGCCTGTGTCCTTCTCTTGGAGCTGCTCCAAGGTTTTGCGAAGGAGGATGAGGAAAGGGGTCAGCTGCATCTCCATGGCAATCTGCTGGACCTTGATCTGACACAGAAAGGCCCAATCAGCCAGGCCCCGCCCGCCTTTTGGCACAGAGGCCTGAGGAACTTCCTTCCTTCCCACCCCACCTCTGGGTGTACTGACTCGGGTCGGATACCTTCTATGTGGCCTGCCCAGGGCCGCTTTCTCCAACTACCCTGGCCTTCGCCTCCCTTCAACTTCCAGCACCAGCTCCCTGTGTCACATGACCTGGGATTCCATTCCTATTCCCCTGGGAGATGCTGCCTTCCAGGAGGCCTGAGCACACTGTGTGTAGGAGACCTACCTCTAGCATAGGCCCTGCTGCTTCCTGGCCAGGATACACATGTTTTTCCTGGTCTCTTGGGTTTGTTTTCTCCTCTGTCAAATAGGGCTGGCCCAGGAGCACTCACCGTCTCCCGTTTGAGTTTTTCCCGCTTGCGGATCAGTTCCACCAGCAGCCGAGCTCGCTCTAGGTCATGCCGGAGCCGCTGCCAGGACTTCAGCTGTTCTTTGAGAGCCCAGTTCTTATCCTCAGAATCTCTCTGTAGAGGAAAAAGGGGGTTTAGGAGATGAGGAGGCCAGAGGAAAGGCCAGAGGGCAGAAGAGAATCCAGGGCACTTGGGTGGAGGGCAGGTCAAGCCAAAGGAGGAAGCCTAGTTATTTATTAATGTGTGCGTCCTCGGGCCTGGCACAGAGTAAATGTTTAGTATGTGCTTACTGGATGAATGAGCGAACACCCCCATCAAACAGATAATCTATAAAGATCTTGTGCTGAGCGTGGTTTGAGGGCTTAGAGCAGGAAACAGCCTACACTCCTGACACTGGAAGTTATAGTTACAAATCTTGGTCTTCATCTCCCAGAGCCCACAGGGAATTGGACATAGTACCCCAACTTGGTCACAGTTCCTCTGCGACTGCAGGTGTGTCTGCAGGCGACGTAGCAGCGGGACTCCGTTCCGTGACTGGCGTTTCAGTGTCCAGTAGCTGTGCAGCCTCTGCATGAACTGACTCTTCCTCTGGATGGTCAGGCGGTTGGTGATTTTACTGAGCCTGGAGGCAGGGGACAAAGAAAAACCTGTGGGCCCTGATTTTTCTTAAACAGAATAGGGTTCTCGGGCCAGTGATGGTTCCTGAATGGGGATGAATGGGGAGTACGCCTCTTGTCAAAAGGTCTGGATCAGGGCTGAAAGCAAAGAGCGAATGATCCCATTAATGGTACCACAGGAAATAGGAAAGCAAGCTCCCAATACTAAGTCAGATCCCTCACCCTGACCCATGCCCCTAAGATGCTCCAGTTACTGCAGCCAGAGTAGCGCTTGACCCCAGTCAGACTGAGACTTGAAGGCTGTAAGATAGAAGTATAACTATGTAGCAGAAACCTACTGTAAGTCAACTAAATAAGCCCAGCAATTATGGCACAATGGGAACGCTACTGCCTTGCAGTGTTGGAAGCCACAGGGTGACTGTAGTTCATATCCCGCGTCAGTCTGAAAAATATGCCAGGCATCTATCTGCATGTGGGCACCCAGGACCTTAAGGAGATGGAGGAGTGGGGGTGGGGGATCTCAGCATGACACCCTTCGAGGGTGCTTCCATCTGTATATCTCTTGCAAGTGTAAACAAGCATGCATGGGCATGTACTTTTTATCATTAAAAAAAAAAAAAATCAACTGGGGCTAGCAGATGTTATGGAGGTTAACATGGCTGGATCCCACATGGTCAACTTGTGGTTTGAATCCTGGACCTGACAGAACTTCGTGGTTTGAATCCTGGACCTGACATCTTGTAAACACAATGGGGGGTAGGGGCAGCAGGTGGCATGGTGGCTGATATGCTGGATTCCCACATGGCCAACCATGGTTCACCATGGTTCAAGTCCTGTACCTGGCAGTTTGCTTTCTCACTTTCCTTCTGTGTCTCTCTCTGATGAGTGGATGTGCGCCATAGTAAGTTTTTTAAAAAATAATAACTATAATAAAGAAAATTAGGGAACAGCAGATGGTGTAATGGCTATGTCACTGGACTCCCATATAGCCGACTGCGGTTCAAATCCTGGATCCGGTGGCTTAAACTCACACCGGGAACGTGTGCATACGTGCCCAAGATCCCGAGAGAGGGGATTCTAGCATGGCCATCCCCCGGGAGGGCGATTTCTCGCTTTCTGTCTTTCTGGCGAGCACAAGCATACTGTACAAATAAAAACCTGAAAGGAGAAGGGACTGCAGTGAGGCTATCCCCCCAGAGGGCTACTTCTCACTTTCCTTCCCTCTGTGCCTCTCTAGTCTTGCTCTGCTGAGTACAAGTGCCCTACAGCAAACTAAAAAACAAACAAAACAACCAAATAGCACAAGAGTTTTTGCCATTGGGTGTATATGCTTGCCAGAGACAGGGTTTGGGGGAAATCGCCCCTCAGGGGCATGGCCACACCACAATTCCTTCTTCTCCATTCTCCTCCTGGGATTTTGGGCATGTATGCACACACACCTGCTGGTTTTTGGATTCGAACCGCAGAGTTGGCCATGTGAGATACAGCACTTACCCACCATGCCATCTGCTGGCCCTAGTGCACTGATGATCGTAGACCAAGTGAGCAGCACGTCACAATTTCTTGAGCCTTCCCTCCTCCCCTTATTCATTCCATTTCTCTCTTTAGACTCAGACCTTTTTTTCTATTGTGGCTAGTGGTTCCTCTATCCTCATCCTAACTTAACCGTACCATCAAAATGAAGGGTAGTTCGGGACCAGCAGTTAGCGTAATGGCTGTGTCGCTGAACTCCCACGTAGTTGACTGCAGTTCGAGTCCTGGACCTCGTGGCTTAAACTCACACCAGGCGCGTGTGTGCCCAAGATCCCAAGAGGAGAATGGAGGAGAAGGGATTGTGGTGTGGCCATCCCCCCTGGGGGGTGATTTCTCGCTTTCTATCTCTCTGTCTCTCTCTGTCTGTCTGGCGAGTGCACGCACCCTATAGCAAAAACCTCTCCAAAAAAAAAGAAAAAATAAATAAAAAGAGAAGCGTAGTTTAAAACACCCGTGAGTTCTGCCTGATCAATGCTGGTATTTCGGACTCCTAATGTGAAAGTCCATTTACCTGCTAAAGATAACATCTTTTGGAATGTGGTCAGTGTTTTTGTTCTTATTTTTCCTTTTTTACTTCTGCGTAGCACCTGACAGGAAGAAGACACCCATCCCTACCACTCCACTCAGGGCTGTCAGCTCCTCTCCAGGAAGGCCTTCTTCCCTTACCTGCCTGGCCGCCTGCTTTTTACATACCTGTGTGGTGGGATGCAGGGCACTGACACCACAGGTGCTGCTGCCCGCTTCTCCGCCAAGATCTTCCGTGCCTTCTTCATCTTGATCCGAGACTTGGCCTTGGCTTTCTTGACCTTCTCTGAGCTCCAGCCCTTACCCTCGTCCTCTTCTTCTTCCTCATCCTCCTCACCCTCGCTGTGGGACAGTGCAGGCAGGCGGCGCGCCGAGCCTGGGGGTGTGTGGATGTCACAGTAGGCTGTCTTGCGGACGCTGAAGGAGGTGCCATTGGCCCCTGTCTCCCGCACAGGCTCCATCTTCATGTAAAGGCCGGCCTGCTGGGCGCATGTCACGTGGAAGGCCGTGTAGCAGTTGGCCTTGTGGCACTGGATGCAGGCTCCTGAGCCCCGCTGTTTGCAAATGTAGCAGGTGAGCTTCCAGCGAGCTGGCGGGATGTGCTCGATGCTGTCGATAGGCTCTAGGAAGACCGTGTTGGCAAAGCAGACCTCGGGGATCCACAGGGCACACACCACGTGGGCCCAGCGCCCGTCATCTGTCTGCTTGAAGGCACCACCCTTGTTAGGGCACAGGGCACAGTCCACAGCGCGGGAGGGTGACTGTAGGCAACGGCGACATAGCCACTGGCCCTCGGGGATATAAGGGACACCGTAGCACTCTTGGTGCACGGCCAGGTTGCACATGTCACAGAAGAGGATGACGTTGCTGTTCTGGCACTCTCCGTCGTTGCAGATACAGCACACAGCATCCTCGTCCACTAGAGCATTGGGGTCGCCTTTGTTGTGACTCTCGAAGTAGGACTCCTTCTCCAGCCGGTCCATTAGGTACTCAAAGATCTCCTGTGGGATGGGACTCACACCCTCTGTCTTCCGCCGTTCGTTCATAATATCCAGCCAGATGTAGTCCTCTTCATCCATGTCATACTCCACTTCCTCATCCAGCTCCTCTGCGGACTTCTCAATGTACCTGCAGCGCACAGGGGCAGTTCAGCATCACATGACTGAGGCTCCCCTCCCTCAAAGTCAACACGTCACGTCTGCTGCAAGGCACTTGCTCTCCTTGCCTGCCCCTCCTTCACACAAGTCACCTCATGCCATCTTCACTCTAGCCCCAAGTACAGTAAGCATTCTATTTTGCAGAAAAGGAAAACCTAAGGCTTGGGAGGTTAATCCATCTGCCCCAACTCACTTGCGAGAGAGTGGCAGAGCTACATGAACCTAGGCCTGCTACTCCGAAGCTCGTGTCTCCCTTGGGGTGCAGTCGCTGGAAGGGAGGAGGGCAGAGCAGACGGGCCCCTCCAGGGTGGGAGGGAGAATGGTACAAAGAACCAGGAGATTCTGGATGGAAAATCTCATTTTGTATGCTGTAATGATGTATAGTGAATGAATGTAAGTAAACACATTTAAATTAAAAAAGAAAAAAAAAAAAAGAACCAGGAGAAGGGAGGCCACACGAGTCACCGCAGCAGCAGCTGCCAGGGCCTTGACCTGAGCCCTCCCAGGGCACCCTCAGATGTGAAGGACTACTTTTATTCTCTAGACAGGCTTGGGAGTGACAGTCATAAATAGCTACGATTCACTAGGCACTTACTAGGAGCCAGTCATTATGCTAAATTGTCACATTTCTCCTTGCCACGGCCACAGGGTCAGTGCTCTTACTGTCTTCGTTTTGTAGATGAAAAACTGAAGTGTTCACAACTAGTGGGCTGCCCCATACAGAGGTCACATAACCAAGGAGTGGCAGGACATTCAACCTCCAGCCCCAGCACTCTTTTATGTTTTTTAAAGAATTACTTTATGGGGCCAGCAGGTGGTATGGTAGATAAGGGCACTGGACTCCCACGTGGCTTACCGTGGTTCGAGTCCTGGACCTGGCAGCTTGCTTTCTCACTTTCTCTCTCTCTCTCTCTCTCTCTCTCTCTCTCTCTCTCTCTCTCTCTCTCTCTCTGTCTCTCTCTCCACCCCAGTCAAATTAAAATAAATAAAGTTAAATAAAATAATAATTTAAAAAAAGAGAATTACTTTATTTATTATCATTATTACTTTTTCACATGAGTTCACCAGAGAGAGACAGAGAGGGAGAGAAAGAGAGAGAGAGAAGGAAAGTGAGAAAGCAAGCTGCCAGGTTCAGGACTCGAGCTGTAGTCGGCCATATCGGAAGTCCAGGCCTCAACCACCATGCCACCTGCTGGCCCCCAGCCGCAGCGCTCCTAACCGCCACTCTACAGCACTTGCTGGGCCAGCAGGCCTGGAGTAAGGCTGCTCTAAGTGCCTATGACACCGCGCAGGCACCCCATAGCCTCGCCATGCTCAAGGTGGCCTGGACTCTGAGACCAAGGGAAGAACAGGGCTCCAGCTTCTCACAAACCTGGATCTAAATCCTGCCTCTGCCACCGTATGACCTGCGGGACATCGTTGCTCTTCTCTGAGCCTGAGTTCTCCTCATGATACAATGAGGCTAATACTACCTACTCACAAAGGTGCTGTCAGGATCCAGTAGAATTACCTAAGTGAATGGGCAAGTCAAATGGCACACAGCAGGCCCTGGAAAGGTACTAGTTCCTCTCTCTTTCGTCCTGTCTATCTCCACGTGAGAAATGGGGTCTGGCTGCAAGAGCAAGCCAGGCACGCAGACTCTGGAGCCATGTGCGTGTTTATGAGGAAAGACCAATAAGAAACAATAAACATAATAAATATATTTAAAAAAACCTGTGTCACATTAACAGGGACAGGTGCCATAGAGACAAATAAAATGTAGAGGAAAACAAAGAAAACACTAACATGCTGAGGGTGCAAGGGATGGGAGGCAGCTTGTAGTATTAAATAAAAGGCCATGTCAGACCTTTTCAAAAAGTGAGAATTCAGCAAGGGCTTGATGGTGGTGGAAATATCCCAGTGTGTGTCTAAGAGAAAAACTTCTCAGGCCGAGAAGGGAAAACTAACAGAAAGGAGTCAATTTTACATGTGATCAGTTGGTTGAAGAACTATGGCAGAAATCAAGGCAATAGTAGGATAGAGGGTTGATGGAGGCTGTTGCAATAATGGCCTTACAGAACATCTTCATCATTTTGATTTGTACTCTGAGCCAATGATGAGTCATTCAAGAGTGGGAGCTGAGCTCTCTGGGCTCTGGTGTCCTCATCTGTAAAGTGGTGATGCTCATCTCTGAACCTACTTCAGACAGCTGGTATGAACAGTAAGTGGTTCACAAAGGTAAAACGCTTAGAGCCCGACACGGACCAAGTACTCAAAACTCCATTATCGCTTTTGTACGGCCCTGACCTACCCTGCCTTACACCATCACTGCTTAGGTGCCTAACTTCTCTGCTGTAGGGAAGAAGCAGGGATCACATCTGATTCGCCACAGAGATGCAGGTGCTCCTTGTGATTCATCTCAATGGCATTTTGGGGGTGGAAGTGGCAGGGGTGGGGGTATGGGGAACTCAAACGTGGTCTGTAGAAAGCAGCTTCTTCCCCAGCTCTTTACCTCATCCCACGGTGACTGAACCTCATCTCTGAACAAGGAAATGACTCAGGGCTGGTGTGAACCATCTGGATCCTTCCAGGTCTGGATGCCAGCTCTCCTGAACACCAGCTCTCACCCTTTTCTCTGCCACCACACTCGTGACATTATATGATGGTGCTTCGCACACTCCCACGGGCAGATGACAGGCTGCAGCACAGACAGGTAGGCTGCATGTCATGGACGAGTCCTGGCACACCAGCTGACACACCACTCTCTCTCTCCCCGTCAAGGAAACGCATCAGATTGCAAGCAAGAGGACGTGATGTTACTAGAGAGATGACCTCAAATTGTCTCAAATTTATAAAAAAAGAAAAAAGACTGCTTCCAAAACTTGGGCAGTTTTACTAACGCTGGTAACAAATGACTTGCGACAAACCTCCCAAATGGCTGTGGTGTGCCAGCTGCGAACTGCTCCTCTGGAGAACAGATCTGAGCCCCAGGAAAGGGGCAGAGTGAACCTGAGTGAGGGCAGGACGGAAAGGAGCTGAAGGGGCTGAGCTGCCGATCAGAGCAGGGCCAGCTAACGAGCCAGCAGGAGGAACGGAAGGCCCCGAGAGAGAGGTCTGTGAGCTGGGGGTGAGGGACTGTGGGTGGGAGTGGGCACGGCGGTCCCTGCTAACAGAAAAGACAGACAGTGGAAGCCAGAACGGAGTGGGGCTGAGCTGGAGATTAAAGGATGGAAGAGAGGAAGGAGGAGACTGGCCAGAACTCAAATGGAGAGAGAGGAAAGTGACATGCTTGTCCCTAAAGATTTCCTTTTCAAGAATTGAGATTAAGGGACCAGCAGTTAACGTAATGGCTATGTCGCCGAACTCCCATGTAGTCGACCGCAGTTCGCATCCCGGACCCGGTGGCTTAAAACTCATGCTGGGCATGTGTGCATGCATGCCCAGGATCCTGAGAGGAGAATGGAGGAGAAGGGATTGCGGCGTGGCCATCCCCCCTAGGGGGTGATTTCTCGCTTTCTGTCTCTCTGTCTCTGTCTGGCGAGGGCACGCACCCTATAGCAAAAACCTCTCCAAAAAAAAAAAAGAAGAATTGA